TTTTTGGGAGTGTGAAGTCGGCTAGTCAAAAAGGGAAGCTTGATGATGCTAACACACTTTAGCTAATGGAAACCTATCTTGGTGTCAATAGATAAAAGATAGAGCATAAAAAGATAGATAAATAGCCAAATTTTCAGAGAAATTGATTCAACCAATTTCTTCGTAGAGGTTTTTATAGAATTCTAATAAAAACACATCTCGTTCACTCTCGAAAACACGTTCACTCTCGAATTTGCTTAAAAGTAAACCCAAAGATTGACTTTAAAAAGATGAAAATTGAACAATAAACACTTTTTATTTAGAGCAAACTATAGATTAATTTGTTAGTTTTCAATGAAAGTATGAAAAGAAACGGAAAGATTTTCTGAATAGCCTAATATTTCCCATCAAAAGTTAAATGCCAAGTCCTGACCCTGAGCCTTCCCTGATCTAGCCTGGATCACAAAAAGTACTGCCTGCTTTTAGAATTAACATTAAGATATTCAGCTAATCCCATGGACTACTCAGATCATATTCAGCTGATCCCATGTCTACTTATTGAAACCAAGTTCCTTGTTGAGCAAAAATAGACTTTAGCTGTAAACAAAAAATAATAGAGTTCTAGAATTGGAAATGAAATGTTTCTTTTTGCATTGGGGATGTCCTTGATCCCCATTTTGGCGTGTCTCATTCATCGCCCAAAGGGACAGACAAAAGACGGGGCGTGTCTTGGTATAGGTCTTATAGAAAATGAAGTGCTATCCATTTGGAAACACCTGGGTGGGATATTTGGGAGATAGCGCTAGGTGAAATCTTGGAATTTGAAGAAAGCTTGGCCAAAAAAGATCGACTAAAACTAAAACAAAAAGAAAACTAAAACATCGACTTGGTGTTTTAGAAAATCTGAGCAATGAGGCTGTTAGATTATTTGATTTTCAACAATGACAGGTTGAATGAAGAAGCAACTATAAGAGATCAAAATTCGCAGAACCGACAATAAAGGAAAACTATGATAACAGATGAGTAATAACTTTATTTCCTTCACTTTCTTCCTTTCTTCCTTTCACTTTCTTCGTTTCCTCTTTCTTCTCTTGCAAGAAAATACCGAATAGCTCAGTGGTAAGGGGTTGGGCAAGGAAGGAAAGCTACCTGGGAAACAAGGAAAGCTACCTGGGAAGCAAGGGAAGCTACCTGGAAAGCAAGGGAAGCTACCTGGGAAGCAAGGGAAACAAGGAAAGCTACCTGGGAAACAAGGAAAGCTACCTGGGAAACAAAGAAAGCTACCTGGGAAGCAAGGGAAGCTACCTGGAAAGCAAGGGAAGCTACCGGGGAAGCAAGGGAAGCAAGGAAAGCTACCTGGGAAACAAGGAGAGCTACCTGGGAAGCAAGGGAAGCTACCTGGGAAGCAAGTAAAGCTACCTGGGTAGCAAGGTCGAGAGTTCAATCCCCTCTCCGGAAATCTTTCTTTGTCTTTCCTTCCTTTACTTTGTTACACGGATAGTTATGAGCCAGTCAAGTTTGATAGTCGATAAGCGAACTGCAAACTTATTTAGCAAACGATTATAATTTCTTCGAAAAGTTGACTTTAAATCTTAAATAATCAGAGATTCGGAGATTAATCAATCTGAATGTCAGAATCAAACCACAATTTAACATTAAATACCAATCAATCAATGCAATTTTAATAAAGAAAAGAAAAGTGTTTCACAGAAAATTGCAGTGTTAATCACAGAAAAGTGTTTCTGGTAAGCGATGACAGTTGTTGGGGCAAATATTTGACGAGAATTGTGACGAAGAGCTGTTTAAAGGGAAAGAATTCGAAGAAAAGACGGAAAAAAGGGGACAAGGTGTGGCAATATTCTCCATTCTTGTTCTTCCCCAATCCCAATGCCTTATCTATTCAATATAAGCACGCGAACAATCGATCTTTCTCCAATTTTTCTTATTTTCTTTCCACGAAACGCCTTTTTCCATCACTATTTATGATCAGAAAGATTAGCCGAACAATAAGAAGAAAAGCTGAGTGTAACTCAAACAATAAGTTATGAAAAGAACTTTTATTAGTAGTAAATTCCTGATTTACTACTAGGAGAAGTTAAGAAAGTTAAGAATCTCCAAGAAAATTACTGATTTACTACGCCTTGAAGTGCGACCTTGAAGTACTACTTCAAATTCTTAATCTTCTTCCAATCAAGTTCGACTTTTAATAGCACTTTCTGTATTTTAAACTTAAAAAATTGCCTAAAAAAATGGAAAATTGAAAGTTCTCAGGAGAATAACAACATTTAACAACAGAAAATAACAATTTTTTTTTGAAAACTCTTTGGTTTTCAAGTCATAAACATCTCGATCAGTGTCCAGATTTGTTTGGAGAGCAAAACCAAGACACCGATGAGTTGTTCTGTAAACATTGTGAATGAAAATATGATGAAAGACAACTGATTATCGATTTGTGGCCAATTTTTGGTCGATTTTTGGCTACTAAAGTGCAGAAAAACATCAATACAACAATCCAAAAGGATCCACAACGTTCCAAACGGATTCTGGTACCTGTAACTGGTCTAGATCAGAGTCAGAAGTCAGGTCAAAGCCTTCACAGCAAAGCTAGTCACACCAAGATTCAACCGTGACTCCGGAGAAGTTGCCGGAGAATTCTGAAAGAATTTCGATTGAATTTCACTAACTACAATCTTATTCACAGAAAATCATAGCCAAATGTGAATATTAGTGAGTTAAGTAGAGCTGCTAGAGCTATTGGAAGAGCAAGAGCTTAAAAAATTGAGAAAAGTAACAAAAGTCAACTCTAAAAGAATATAAAACCTAGTAAAAATCTTAAATAAACAATCGCCGGCTTTGAGTTAAAGTAGTGAAAGGAGACTAATTGTAAGGGAAAACGGGGGAAGCAGGTTCTCGATACATTGGCAGTTCTTCAAGAGGCAGACTGTCAAAAAGAAGATCCAGTCATTGCCATTCATTCCTTTCTGTACTTCAAAAGGAGCCTATTTACTCAATTCATAAGGCAACGGAAAGGAAAAGGGGAATATTGACGAAAAGAAAGTGAAATATTCGACAGTCAGCCTTTTGGCGACAGTCAAAACATCAACAAACGAAATGTTTGGTTCTGGTCGCTATCGCCGACTGGCTAAGAGTCCTGTCACCTAATCGGAAGGTCAAGGGATCGGCCGGCTTTATTACTAGTTCTTCTTTTCCATATATATGGAATCTTTCTTACATTTAGGGCTTAACAATTGTGCTTGTACAATTAAGTCTTAAGCCTTGTATATTGTTGACTCGTATGAATCAATGTATTTTTTAAATGGTTCACTAGTCTATTTTGGAAGCTTTGTTACTGATTCACTAGCAAATTTAACGAGTAAAGCATTTGGAGAAAGTTTTAGCAATAAAATATTGTACAGCTCAAGTCTGAATCCACATATCAGCAAGAAAAAATATTCAGGCAATAAAAAACCTAACTGAGTATCTTCAAAAGCCAAGAAGTTCAGTTTGAATAAAGATTTTCACAGACTACTGAAGTCAGACAAGAAACGAACACTCTTGTCTGACTGTCTGACTGTGCTAGAATGTACTAGAACGTGAAGCCGAGTAGTCAAAAAGGGTGGTCGATGATGCGGCTTAGACACTTTAGCTAATAGAAACCTATCTTGGTGTCCATAGATAAAAGATAGAGCATAAAAAGTTAGGTGTATAGCTAAATTTTCAGAGAAATTCATTCAGCCGATTTCTTCGTAGAGGTTTTTATAGAATTCTACGAAAACAACATCTCGTTCACTCTCGAAAAGACGTTCACTCTCAAATTTGCTTGAAAGTAAACCCAGATTGACTTAGAAAGATGGAAATTGTACAAGAAACACTTTGTATTCTAAGTAAACCATAGGTTAATTGATAAATTTGTTATTTTTCAATAAAAGTATGAAAAGAAACGAAAATACTTTTTGGAGAGCTTAATACTTTGCTTTTTGAAGTCATTTCTTTCATTTCAATCATTTTTCAAAAGAAATACAAGCTCAAGCTCTTTATAGAAAAGCTTATTGTCGAATCTCATCCTCCCCTTCAAGCCTAAAAAAGGAAGGTGAAAGGTGAGAAAGAAAAAGAAGCGTAGGCACTTTGTGAGTGCATCTCTTTTTCTTTCTCTTTCTCTTTCTCTCCTTCTTTCTCTTTCTCCCAGATTTTCTCAATGATCCTTGAGGCTGTGAAGATCCACGAGTGGGTCCACGTTGAAGAATAGAGTTTGAAGATTATAAAGAAAAAAAATAGCATTGGTTTCTTTTGTGAAATTGTGGAATCGGTTTGGGATTGGGGGTGATTCCAAAAATAGAAAAGCATTTAAAAAATAAATACCTTGAATATTTTAACAAAATATTTTGCCGTAGTAAGACGAAACTTTTCCTTTTTCTATAGCTGTCACAAAGCCACGGGGTAACCGAGAAAATATTGTACCCGAGGGAAAAAGAAAGGAAAACCAAGAAAGAAAAAAAGAATTTCATTCTAGGATCCAAACAACTAAAACGATTGTGAAAAGTGAAAAGTTTTCATTTTCAATTCAATCGTTTTTTTCTTTTCACTCGCAAAATGCTCAATACTTATGGAATATCGATGAAGCGAGTCGAAAAGGAGAAAAATGGAAATCGAATTCATAATCGGCATTCAAAATGCGCCGCATGGATGAGAATAATTTCACTTTTAGTGATAGGTTTTGTATTGGGAAACCAAACACATGAAAATTATTGGATTTTGGTAAAAAAGATCAATTGAATAGATATTGTCAAGTTTTGTCAGGGCTCATGGCTTTAAAAATAAAGATCATCGTTCTGTTAGCATTTTAAAAGGATTAGTAAGTTCGGGAATAGTAAGCGCCAGAAAGCGCCGGCTGCTCATCACAAGGATCATATTGGGATAGCACTGAAGATGCCTTGATTTTTGACTTTGACAGAAAGTGAATGTTTCTTCCAAAGATAACTAATAAATGCTTCGAATCCTTTTTGCTATTCAATTCAACTCACCTAACAAACAGCGAACATCCTCGTAACAGTAAACATGCTCGCAAGCCGGCTGCTCATCACAAGGAGCATATTGGGCAAGCACTGAAGATGAAAAATGACGATTTAATGAAAGACGGTAACGAAAGACCGTAATTCGATGAAAGACAACAATTTTTAACGATCAACAACTTACCACCATACGGTTGATCCTCACAGTCGACTTCAGCGTTAAAGCTGAATAGCTCTGACATCGGCTGACAACTGGAAAATCGAAATTTGAGCTATAGCTAAGGCCTACAGTCTTGTGAATCTACAGTTATCTAATTCCTAAGCTAAGCCTTAGCCTAAGCCCAAGCCTGAAAATGGTTGAGATCCAGAAAATGGGGGTTCAGCTCAAGCCCAAATAGACTTAGTGTGAGGCGCTAACCGCTAGCCCTCGCACTAAGTCCAAGCCTAAGCCTAAGCCTAAACCTAAGCCTGAGCCTAAGCCTAAGCCTAAGCCTAAGCCTAAGCCTAAGCCTAAGCCTAAGCCTAAGCCTAAGCCTAAGCCTAAGCCTAAGCCTAAGCCTAAGCCTAAGCCTAAGCCTAAGCCTAAGCCTAAGCCTAAGCCAAATTTTTGGTTATACAAGACAAACAAAATCATTTAAAGCTTGAGTTATACAAGACAAACAAAGTGATCTAAAGCTTGAGTTAGAAAAGTACTGAAAGTTTGTAGATGCATATGCAAAGAAAAAAAATGTAGAGGGTGGCAACACAAGAAAATCCGGGAATTAGCGGACACGGAGTCTCTTTTGAGTGGATGATGAAGAGGTGAAAAGAAAGAGGGAAAAGAAGACCGCTTCACGCCAAAGGACCACCACTGTCTGGTGGTGTATGAAAGGGAAAAGATGAGAGAAATCGACCATCGCACGGCACACGACACACAATCTCTCTCAAACACACTCCGCAATGACAAGAAAGGAATTGAGAATTGTGAAATCCTGGATATTTGTTGTTTAACTCAGCACAATCACTTTTTAGATAGATTTCTTGAAAGTATCTTCTTTCTACTTTCTACTTTCTACTTTCTACTTTCTACTTTCTTCTTTCTACTTTCTTCTTTCTACTTTCTTCTTTCTACTTTCTTGAAAGCTAGATCTCTTGGAAACTCTGACTACCGTAAATTGATTGCACCCAGAAAAACCGGTTGCTTGAAGTTTTCCAAACGATACTCAAGATAATCAAATCTTGAATAGATGCCTGAATATCTTTATGCTGACAGAACGTCAAATAAGAGGCTGACAATGAGACTTGGCAGTGTTGTACTTTGAGATTTCGTATAAGCTCTGCCAATTATACAGGGTTCCAAACCCAAAACAACCTTCGTTTGCCGCGCTTTGCTCTTATGCGCTTTTGGGTTGACTATCTTTGCTATTTTCTGTTTATTATGGAGATTTTGAGTTTCAAAAATGTTATTTTCTCATTTAAATCTTTTTTTTTTTCAGTTATGGTGAGCAGATCTACCTATCAAGATTCGATTATCGAGCTTTTTCGGAGGGAAGTTTGGCCAATTGAGGCCAATTTGGCCAAAGACTGATGTTGGCTAAGTTGGTCGTTTCTCAGACAATTCGTCGATATTTGATCTTGGAAGAACTTCTGATCGATCAGGCGGTGCCGAAAAGATACCGTGACAACAAAAAAGAATGTCAAGAAGGTTTGCGAAAAGCTCCGATACAACCCGATGCAATCTCAACCACAAATGACCAAAAAATTGGATTTCTAAAGGATCAATGAGTCAAATCGTTAAAAAACATTTGAACATAAAAGCCTACAAGTTTGCAAAAGCCTAATCTCTCACAAGCGATGCCAAAAAGGTCCTCCAAAAAAATCGTTTCAAATAGCTTAGGCTGAACTCGATTTTGCAGATCTTTTGGCCACTATCGACGGGTTGCCAAAACGTCTTGCCGCTTATGAAGCCATGAAGATATTTTCAAGAAGAAATAGAACAAATTCTTGAAAGCAATCTAGAGAATGAATTTGTTAACGTTAATTCTTGTTTTTGAAACCACGACTTTTATTGGTTTGGGTAATTTTGCGGCACCCTGTATTACAAAAATTTCAAAAATTTCAAATGATTTTAAGGCCACATAATATTCAGGTATTAAAACATCAAAACGCAAAATAAAAGTTTTGTCAAAAAGGAATCAAACTCGAGCAAGAAAAGCAGCGCTTTTTTTTGCGTGCAACCTTTTTATCCACTATACCATCAAGTTACGCTTGAGATCCGTGAGAGAACCCTTATAAAGGTGGGATAGCTTTATAAGGGCTCTTATTTGTCTCCAATTTTCACCCTAAAAACTTAACGAAACTAAAGAACACGTATAACTTTTTATAGAACGCTATTGGGTTGGAGAATTGAAAACTGCCGAACTTTGAACTAAAATTTATTCAACATAGAACCATCAATTCATTCCAAATAATTTCCATTATTATTGACGACTTCTGCCCATTTTACAGGCAATTTGCGGATTCCTCTTTCGTAGTAGGATTTTGGTTTGTGTGTGAGACAAGTATGAGACTCAAAAATGGAGGACTGGAGATGTCAGCTGTCAGCCCAGTTTGAGCACTTTCTTCAAAGAAACCCATTTTGGTGTCAATAGAAAAGTTGTAGAGAATCAAAAATGAAGCTTATATCCAGCTATTAGGCTCATAGCCAAATTTCCAAAAAGATACACTTAGTAGTTTAACTTAAAATGCAAGTTTTGTGAAAATTCGTAAATTTGGCACTTCTAGAAAACCAGTTTTTCAATCATTCTGAAAATTTGGCTATAAGCTTAATTTTTGATTCTCTACAACTTTTCTATTGACACCAAAATAGGTTTCTTTTGAAGAAAATGCTCAAACTGTCACATATGACAATAGCCCGCAGTTTTCAATTCACCAACCCAATATTTTGCAAAAACGGAAAGCTGATTCGGAATCAGCGTGAAATTCTGCGTCAAATGGTCTATGGCTTATCTAATTTAGCCACATCATACTGTTGTCTTTCCCTTGTAAATCTGTATTTTCCACATGAGTCCTAGAAATCTTTCTTTTTTTTCTTTCAACTCACAAGTTCCAGCAATCATTCTTAAACATTTTTCTTGTTTAAAACCTTTTAATCTATCTTATTTCATACATAATTCAACTCCAATCCGGAATCGAGATGTTTGGCATATGATCCGAGTAAATCCACAACCCGGCCGGCTTCAATGGAAAGAAGAGGGACTGGACTAGATCACACAGTGCAACTTGAACCCGAAACCATTCACAAAAAAACGCTTCCCCGTCATCCAATCGTCATTCACTCAATCAATCAAAAAGAATTGTAGATTTCGATTTTTAAAAAAGGGGTTAGAAGTTTGATTAAGTTAAATAATTAATTAAATCTATAACCTGGAGTAAATGAACTGAAATAAATGAACTCTTTTGATTCATTTTCAGACTTTTTTCTTAAACAACTTTCGAGCTTGCGAGATTGTAAGTTTTTTTGATCCAAATCCCTTTAATAATTTTGAAAATTCATTGATATTTGCAAGTTTCTTTGATAATATTGAAAGCTCTTTTTGAGTGTGTTCAAGTGTTCGAGATTTCAGTTTTATTTTGATCTCTTTCAACCTTTTTGAACCGCACAGTTGTTAAGCAAAAATGTCTGAACCATTAATTTGACAAACTGGCAAAAAAAGGCAAAAGAAGGCCAAAAAAAGGCAAAGAGGCAAAAAATCAAATAAATGTTGCCTTGCGATGGTTAAAAAGCGGCAAAGAAACTCAAGGAGATTAATTAAAAAGTGGATTTAAAGTTCAAAGAACATTAAGGTTTAGTTTTTATTGAATCTAGAGGTGTCGAACTATCATAGATTAGACTGAAGAAAATCTAATCACTTATTCTTTAAGTGGTTCGCCGTGCTGGATCACCCAAATCCGTCATGGTCCGCCAGAATCACTACTGATGAGAAGACTCCACTAATTTTTGTTCAACAGGGCAATAAACGCAAATAATTATCTGGATATTTTGAAGCAGCTACCGTGACAACAAAGAAGAATATCAAGAAGGTACGGGAAAAGCTCCGATACAACCCAAGGCAATCTCAACGACAAATGACCAAGAAAATTTTATGTCTACCATTTCTAGGTCTAGAATAGACATGGGCACTGCAAACTACAAACGTAAACTACAAACGTAAACTACAAACTTAAACTACAGACCACAAACGCCTCTAACTTGTTTCAAATCTGCTGCTTCATGATTCTTTCAGTCATGGTTTAACGACAGTTGAGTTCTTGTTAGACGTGGGCACTACAAACTACAAACGTAAACCACAAACGCTTCTAACTTGCTTCAGATCTACCGGATTAACACGACCTATAGCTCAAAGAATAGAGAATCTCAAGAGCTTTCGAATCGACTAAAGCACACCCAAAAATATCAATGCTAAAGAAAGTTACAGTGATTTGTAGCCTGACTCGATCGCTTCGACGACGCGCGAGTACGATCCATTTTAATTACAAGCCATTGTAACTTTCTTTAGCATTCATATTTGCTTTGCTTTAGTCGATTCGAAAGCTCTTGAGATTCTCTATTCTTTGTGCTATAAATCATGTTAATCCGGTAGATTTGAAACAAGTTAGAAGCGTTTGTTAGTATGACAGTTCGTCTTTTTTGTGGTTTATAGTGCCCATGTCAAGTCTAGAAATATTATAGCTCCTGCTGAAAAGTTCTATTAAAAATAGAACTGATGGCAAAATTTTAAGCGGATGTTCAGCTTTTATACCCCAAGGGACACTTAATTAACTAAAAATATAAAACTGGAAAAAGTAAAGTGATGATTATTGAGCAAAGAACACATTAAGAACAGATAATGAAATGTTTTGGAAGCTAAACCAAGCTATTTTTGAAAAACTACAGGGTGCGTCATAATTATTGCAACAAGAGTTCAAAGATCGTTTTCCAAACAGCTTATTTTTTTTGCCCCCTTTTTTGTTGTGTTGCGTTCTATCTTCTTTATTCTTTAGCCTAATTGCCTCCCGCTCACACGAAGAAGACGGTTCAGGACTGGTGTGTGGCCAACTTTCCCTCAGTGATCACCAAGGATGAATGGCCTCCAAACTCACCGGATCTCAATGTGATGGACTTTTCCATTTGGGCAATCTTAGAGGCTAATGTCTGCTCTCGAAAACACACAAGTTTGAATTCTTTGAAGAAGTCTTTGACCAAAGGATGGAAGGCGACTCC